AGTAGCATTTTTGTACTTTTCATTTCTCAACATTAAAATAAAATAAATGCAATGAAGAGAGAGAATTTAAAACTCTACAAACATAATCTGAATCTTAACTCTCTCTTGGAATTCTCTTTCATTCCATTTATTGAATTAATTACAGACTTTATACGTTTAACAAAACATCCACATATAGATGGAACTTTAGATATTGTCCATCTTTTTTGGTCATGTGAACTTGAGGGTCCTATTACGTTGCATTGGAGAAAAAAATTTATAGACATTGTCTAATTTGACCATTTTTATAAGTAATCCACATTAGCATTGGAGATCATATTTATTAGGTTCGATCGGATTGGCAGGTTAATGCTTAAACATTTACCAAAAAAAGTTTCTTCAAATGAAAACTCACCGGAATTTGGTTTGGCATGGTGGAATGGTGACATGCCGAAGCTGGTCGTTTTTCTGACTCCCAAATTTAATGACGAGCGTAGTTAAGATTTGATAAACATCTTGAAAAGTTCTTTCGAACATGTTAAGTCGGTGCTGAATGTTTTCAAAGATCTGTTGGTCGATAACGGTTCGAGCTCCATTAGTACCGTGCACAATCTTACTTTATTCGATGCCAATTTTGGTGTAGAAGCGAAATTGTATCTTGAAACAAGAACAAATCTTGAAACTCAAAAATTCTGTAAGAGAATAAGTTTATTGTAATGTATTGTTGTTTGCAAAACTGTACAGACCTTTCTTTAAATAAACAGAATAATTGACTAAAGTAAGCCCATGTTTGATATTCATTGTTTAGAAACTCTTTTTGTTGCGAAATCATTTTCAATCATACATTCACACAATAAAATATTTTGTATGCGTACTAAAAACATTTTCCCTCTTTTTAATCATACATTCTCTTAAAAATACTATTCAAAACTCTATTATTATTATTATTATTATTATTATTATTATTATTATTATTTACAATAATGGACACTAAACAAAAATCTTATTTTAACCAAGAAAACAGAAATCTTACTCTAATGAGAAACAGAGATGATACCTATTATAATTAAAAAAAAAATTGTGTTTACAATAGAACTATCATACATCAGTTTGCCTAGGTTATGCCTAGGTAGGGCTGGACAAAGCTGTTGAGTCGAATCGGATCCGAATTGAACTACATCGAATCGAGCGGTTCTTCTTAAATTAAATATCCGAACGGGTATCTGAATCGAGAACCGACGAGTTCGGTTCGGTTCTCGATTCTAGACGAAAAATCAAATAAGAACCGAATATCCCTATTTTTTTTAAAATTTTTATCTTAAATAAGTCAAATTATTTTATTTTTCTAAATAAATTTGCTAACTAATAAATTTAGTCCAAACTCAAAATATAATTTTACTATTTCTAATTTCCAGCCAAACCCAATTTAATCAAATTGACCTAAATTTTACCCAAATATCTCATTCTACCGTAATATCGTTTCCGTCGTTCTATTATTGTAAACTTGTCATCTTTCTCTTTCTGTAATTTTAACAGTTAAATATATGAAGAACTCAATAAAGAGAGGTGCAAAAGAGATTGAACTACATTATTTTGTAAGAGTTAAAATTGAACAGTCATAGTTGAATTAATGTAGCAATGTAAATATAAAAAAAATTAATTATTAGACGGAACTCAGGAATTAAAGAATCGAATCAAATCGGACCATGTCTAGCCCTATGCATAGGCTAAGACTAATTATTCAGATTAACGGCTAAAGAATTTATGTAATAAGAGCGTTGAGCGTGAATTCTAATTTTCATCTAAGCATGTTTTAATCTATTAAAGCTATTTATAATTATATATTTGTTTTTTTCGTAATATTTGATCATTTTGTAAACGTGAAAAGCCACATTTCTGTGGCAAAAATTGTAACTTTCCCATTACAGCAAGACTAATTCATTTTGAAAAGTCGCAAGATACATCCCCACGCGTCTGAAGTGGATAATGATAAATTTACATTCTTTGGTTGAAATTATTTTCCAGATTGCCTTTGTCTTTTTGAAAATCGTGGGCGAAAAACTATTTTTCTTTCTAAACTGTCCAACGATGTTTTGTATCGCCAAACAAGATGCCTACCTGTGTACTCACAGATTAGCTTACACGTAGAAAGCTAGACGAATCAAAACTCATAAATGACGGTAGAGCGTTGAGAGAGATAGAAGGTGAGCTCTAGAGAGATAAATGGCTTCTACAGAACCATGGCTACTGGAAAATGGAAACGTCAGATGCCTGACCATGGAAATAAAACACGTCCATGTTCGGACGGCGCATAACATGCCTTCTTCTTCTTCTTCTTCTTCTTCTTCTTCTTCTTCTTCTCCTCTGCGCAAGAAATCGGACCTTACCCTTGTTTCCAAAGTTCGACGAGGGTTACTCCGAAACATTTTGGTTAATCTGCAAGAGGTTTTGTTGGGAACAAAGCTAGCGATTTTGTTTCTGGCAATTCCTTTTGCTGTTGCGGCTGAGTGTAAAAATTTTGGAAGAGTGAGTACTCTCTTTCTTTGGTTGATTACTCACAGTAAACTTTTCCTCGTCTGACCATAAATGAAGAATTTGATTGGGAAAAAAAAATAAAAAATATGTAAACTTCTAGCCTTGATGCATTTATTATTATTTCTCAATTATTCATTATTTTATTTTGTTTTTTGTTTCTTTAACAGCCATGGGTGTTCGCATTGAGTTTACTTGGACTCACTCCTCTTGCTGAACGTGTCAGCTTTTTGACGGAGTAAGAATTTTATAATTAATTTTTCCATTTTCTTCAATAAATAATAATACGACTAGGATCTAACAATTATTCTCTACATCTTTTGATTCTTAATAATTTATGCAGACAAATCGCTTTCTACACAGGTCCAACAGGTAATCCATGTTTCATACATTATTTTTTATGTTCTTATATCTTTTTAGGAAAAAATGAAATCAGTTCAAATTTGATGGAGACGATTCGACGTTTGCTTTAGTGAGTGGGCCAGTGGCATCACCATATATTATAATTGCCTGTGATTCAGAATAATGGAAGAATCTAGATTTTGTTTGAAAATAAAAATTAGATTAAAACAAATAATGAATAGCTGGATAATCCAATACCATTGTGTTGATGCAATATTGATACGTTTTTTTTTTCCTGGGCCGAAATTACTTAATCTAGTACAGTAGCAATATGAAAATTGCTTAATCTAGATTCTGGGGAATAAAGCTTAGTTCGTGGGTGTACTACTCCATTACGGTTTCTTGAATCAGTTTCTTGTTGCGGAATTTTTGCAGTTGGAGGGCTTCTAAATGCTACATGTGGAAATGCTACAGAGCTGATAATATCCATATTTGCTCTAATCCATCAAAAAGTAGATGTGGTGAAATACAGTCTACTTGGTTCTATACTTTCAAACCTTCTTTTGGTTCTTGGAACCTCTCTTTTCTGTGGTGGAATTGCGAATCTCGGAAAGGAACAAAAGTTTGATAGAGTAAGACTTTCTACTGCCATTAATTGTGCAAATTTCTAGTCTAAAAAAATGGAATTCCTGATTAATTATCCGATATATTTAGCGGGGTGTTGAACTGTAACAGAAACAAGTGGATGTGAATGTGCTCCTTTTGTTGTTGGGATTGCTTTGCCATGTTTTGCCTTTGATGCTTCGATATGCTGGAAATGCGTCCGAGTTGACAGGGACTGAAACTCTTGCGCTGTCAAGAGCTAGTTGTATTGTGATGCTTATTGCATACATTTCTTACCTTGTTTTCCAGCTATGCTCTCATCGGACACTATTTGAAGCTTCCCAGGTGATTCATTTTGAAAATTTTCCCCCTTTGAAAGGTTATCCTATTAAACTTGTGTTGCTGTGTTAGGCCATTTAAAATGTACATTTGGTAGGTTGGACTGCACGGAACTTGGCATTATTAAAAAGGAAAAAGATGATTAATTATGTCTATTTACTCTAGTCTATGTTCCACACGTGAATCTGTCCAAAACTACCTAAACAGAACCTAATTAGCACTAATCTTTTGCAGTATGATTTAAAAAAATCTTATCTTGGTGGCAATTATCAGGATGACGAAGGAGATAGTGACATGGTATCTGATGAATCAGCCGTGATTGGATCCTGGAGTGCATTTGTTTGGCTAGTTCTAATGACAGGTGTTATAGCCCTACTGTCGGAATATGTTGTGGGCACAATTGAGGTGAACTTTCAGCATAAATCATTAAAAGCTGAACGATTGATAAGAATTTGAAATTTTGTATTGGGATCTAATAATTTCATATTTTTTTTGCGGATTTCCTGCAACAGGCTGCATCAGACTCTTGGGGATTATCCGTCAGTTTCATCAGTGTAATTTTGCTACCAATTGTTGGAAATGCTGCAGAACATGCTGGGGCTGTCATTTTTGCCTTTAAGAACAAGCTGGTATGTCATGGAGGTTTTTTTTTTTTAAATGAAAGAACAATTTGAAGACAATTCTAGCTGATATTGAATATCTCTATGTATGAATGAAGAGATTCTTGAAAGTGAAATACACGAAAAGCAAAAAAAAGCCCTGTCATTCTTTATTTTACGTCTCTTTCTTTGTTGTATCCACTTACTTTTTTTTGAACAGGATATTTCTTTGGGTGTAGCACTGGGTTCAGCTACTCAAATTTCCATGTTCGTGGTAAGAACTTTAACCATAAATTACATTCTTAAGGCTGATGATTAAAATTTAGTCACGTGTCTAATTATTTCTGAAGTAATCAGATTCCATTAAGCATAATTGTGGCGTGGATAACCGGTATCAACATGAATCTCGACTTCAATCTCCTTGAAACCAGTTGTCTTGCTCTATCAATAATCGTCACAGCATTCACTTTACAGGTAATTAATCTGTAATTAATCTTTATATGAGGAATTATAAAACTGGATTTTACAAATTGACAAGTTTGAAGCTTTTAGAGATGAATTACGGCATGTGAATCGTTCATTTATATCTGCAATGTTAACACGTTCATGAATCTTGCAGGACGGAACATCTCATTACCTTAAAGGACTAGTTCTGCTGCTATGTTACCTAGTTATTGGGGCTTGCTTTTTCATTTTCAGAACTCCAAATAGTAAGCATCAACCCTAAAATTCACTATGTAATCCAGAACTAAATTTTTTATACCAAACTAATTATCTTTTCTTGAATCAGATCATGCTGACAGTGTCAACATAAGTTTCAGATCATCCAATGAAAGAATCATGAGAGTTTGATCAATGGTACATAAATCAGTCGAGTGTTCTTTACATGATGTACGTAATGACGAATAATACTTCCTTAACTTGTATGAATTCAATACGGGTGATGATTACACACAGGGGCGGAGCCAGCCCTTCAAACTAAGGGGGGTCCTGGAGTTGAAGGGGCGGGGGCTCACGGCTGCCCCCGAATTTTTTTTTTGAAACATTATCTATTAAAATGAGGAAAGTTGGTACTTTGTGATGGAGAAATGAAACAAATGAACATAAATTAATGTACGAAAACTTCACAAAAAAATCAAGAAACATATAAAAGAAACTACTAATCTTTTGAAATACTTCTCCATCACTGAGCCTGAGAATTGAGAAAACTCTTTAAATTAATGTACGAAGACTTCACAGAAAAATCAAGAAACATATAAAAGAAACTACTAATCTTTTGAAATACCTCTCCATCACTGAGCTTGAGGATTGAGGAAACTTTTTCACTCATAATTCATAAACAATACAACTTCATAAACAATTGAATGGGTTGGATTAGGAAATTAAAAAAAAAAATTGAGGCCAAAAAATTTAAAAAAAATTTATTTTTTCAAAAAATTGGGGGGCCAGGACCCCCCTCCCCTCCGCCCCTGGTTACAGATTTGGTTCCATGAAAGATTCAAACAGATTGCATCATGCATTTATTATTTTTTCACTGGCACAAATGGAGATTTCTTTCTGTTTACATTTTATTTAATTACGAGTGAATATGAGCTGTTATAGTTGTGACTGAAGTTTTTATCAAATAAAATACAGTTTGTTTCACTGTTCTGAGCTTTTTATTGATCAGCCAATTAGTGAACTAGCTTGACTATGAAAAGTATTGATAATTCCATATAATTTATTTTATTGAGATTCTCATCAATGTGAAAACTCTTCTATAAATATACCATGAGTCGGGGATGTCAAAGCTAAAATTGCGGGATCTCCTATAGATGCAGGAGCTTATAGCACTAATATGCAGGGATGGCATTCTTCCCTCAAGGTCATGATGAAAAAAGGAAATAAACTAGAGTGTCGTAAGAGGTAACAAATAAGTTGTTCTCATATGTCTAGAGTGGAATTCTATAGTTCACACCGGGAATTACTAGACTCGAGAGTACCCAATTCCAGGGGACTAGACTTCCTTATCTAGGACTTAATTGGGTTCATCTTCATTAGTGAATGTTGTATATGTGATCCAAGTTTCGATGTTGGTTCGTGTTTCAATTGAAAAAGGAGTTAAAAAGGAATCAAAGTTGGCAATTGTAAGTTTGGAGTAGCAATTGGAAGCTTGGGTGCCCAAACGAGGCGCCTAGGCGCCAAGAAACGGATTTTGGGACCAAAACTCAGCATTTGAGCACCATTGGCTGCGCCGGGCCGTTGCTCGCTTGAAGCCAGGTTACCGCTCGCTAGATGCGAGGTTGACGCTTATTTGGAAAAGTTTTGTTTCCGTTTATCAGGCTCATTTTTTTATCTTCTTTCCATTTAAAATATATTCTTTTGGGGTCATATATGTACTCCACGAATCGAGCGGTAGTCTTATTTGGAAAAGTTTTGTTTCCATTTTTGTGGCTCGTTTTTTATCCTCTTTTCGTCTAAAATATATTTTTTTAGGTCTTATATGTTGGATTTTGTGACCAAAATTAGATTGGAATTTTTGGGAATATATTTTTCTTTCTTTGCATGTATTTGAAAAAATATTATTTCTTTTATTTCATGTATTTTATGGAAAAAATATTGGGAAAATATTGTTTCCTTTATTTCACGTGATTTGTTTTTATCTTGTTTCCATCTTGAGTTTAGACATCTTCCATATAAATAGTAGACTTTTCATTCAGTTTTTGTGAGCAGAAATTGTATTTTCTCTCAATTGGTTGTTTAATAAAATATCGGTTCTTTTGCCAATTTTTTTTTTTCTTTTCTGTACTTTAAATCTTGTTCTTGATTGGTAAGCGATCAATATTTCATGTTGCTCTATTAATCTCTTCCGATTTTTCACAACACGTGGGTTCAAAGGGTCCCAACAAGTATAACTGGCATATTCTAGTCTTTCTCAATGTCAAGAATGATGAAATATTACGAAAGATGAATTTACCTTGATGTGTACGTCCTCAATCATGCCTCTTTGATGCTTAATAGATCCACCAACTAATTATAAAGCTATCGTGGTTACTCTAACTAACAGCTTCTAACGGTAGGTTATGGATCACATCATTCTCGATAACCTTGATTGCTAACATGTGCTCCTTTGATTGGTTTATGTGTTTCTTGGTAGATTCCCTTGTTGTATTTCTGAAATAGCTCGCTATTTGGCCTATTTGAGTCTCAATAATTTTGATTGTTGATGAATGATTCTGAAGGGTTGTCTCCACTCTCGCTATGAAGTAATGTAATTTTTTATATGTATTGGTAAGTTCTTTGTATGAAATTTCCCAAGATGTCATCCGATGCTGAGTTCTTGTCCTATTGTGGAAAAATAGGTGGTAGCTATTGTCCATTGTTTTGGTTATAATTGCAAAAGAAGTTAGGATGATTTCGCTAGCATAGGTTGTAGGTATTAGAGTATGGATTATTTTGTTGGCATTGAAAGTTTAGAGTAGAGCTAAATTTCTTTTGTTGTAAGTAACATATCTAGCATTTCCCAGCATAGTGAGTTTTCACATACTAAGAACTTCGCTTACACTGCTTTTGATAAGCTTTGGGTGGTGAGGTTATCCATCATCTTCTTTTCTAGAAAAGTTATTTGCGCTGATAAAGCCGAAAAGGCATCTATTTCGTAAATTTCAGTTGGCTTCTTGTACATAACTCTCGGAAAGCTATAAAGAAATATTAACAGCCATTTTTTCGAACACATCAATATTTTCACTTGGTGACTTCATTGTGATTGACCTATTTGCAGCCGAATCAACCACCATACATCTCGAAGGGTTTAATCTAGTGTAGAAATACTGAACTTGCAAGCCTTTATTTATTCCATGGTTTGGGCATTTTTTTGACCACATTCTTGAACCTCTCCTATGCTTCGTATGAATATCATGAATCTTCTATTAAGATCGTATGCTTAATTTATTGACTTTCATCAGAGAAAAGTACTTGGTGACAAACATATATGTGAAATCATTCCTCGTCCGAATGCTTCCACCAAGTAGTGAATCTGCCCATTCTCTCACTGAATCTCAAAGAGTATATAGGAAGAGTTTGAGCTTTTGACGGTTTCATCCGACACACTATGGAATTTGTAATTTTAGTGCATGTCTACAATGTAAGAAAAATATTTATGTGGATTCTCTTATGCTTTCCCATAAAATGATAAGTCATTTTAGAATAGAAGAATGATGTTGGTCCAATATTGGATTGATTCTGGGAAACATGT